GGCACAGAAAAAGAAATATCACATGTTCTCACTTATTGGTGGGAGCTAAAAATAAATAAATTAATTCAGTCACACACACACACACACACACACACACACAAAACCGGGGCGGGGGGAAGAAGACATAACAACTACAATTTTTTGAAGTCGTTACAACAAGCAAACGGAAAGGACATTCTTGGGTTGGAGGGGGAAGAGGGAGGAGGGAGGGAGGTTTCGCTGATGGGCCATAATAATCAACCACATTGTATATTGACAAAATAAAAATTTAAAGGAAATAGTGTGGGAAACAAAAGGGGGAGTTTAGTCCCAACAGAAAGCAACTACATGAGATCTTGCTGATTCTGGGTTTTCTTTCTCTTCGGTCTGGTTCTATAACTCTTCGGATTGAATTCTTTCAGTCATCCATGGGTGTAAGTGTTGTCTGGCTCCCACAAGCTGGATGGGTGTTATCTAGCTCCCAGACAGCTTGACTTCAAAGGGATTAAGGGTTAGCTTTGTAAGCTACTGATTAACTTTTTATTATCTTTTTCCTTCTAAGCACAAAGATCTGCGGCATCTTCTATGAAGTATGTTGTCCGTTAAGGTTACAAAAAGAAACTTTTTATAGCTAGCATTCCACTCCAAGCTGCACTTTACTCAATAGCTCTTTCAAGGCTAATTATCTTACAACTACTCACTGAGGTGGGCTCTTATAAGAGCAGTCTCTCTCCTAAAACTTACAGCACACTTAGCTTTTACATATTAATAATCAGAATCACAACACATTTATGTTAGATTTCATATATGCATCTTATCTTTTCATTTATATTTTTTTATATTGCTCACAGTGACAACAAAAAAGGATGTGCAATACATATCTGTTGACTGATTGACTTTTTTTTTTTTTTCCGCACACCATGCTCTTTGCAAGGCTGGCATGTAGCAAGCACTTCTTTCTCCCACTTACTTAATATGTTGCCAATAAATATGGTCACTCTTCATCTAAGCGTAGCTTCACTTTAATGTCATTACAAATTAAAAAATTTTTTTTTGTAAGAAAAAATTTTTTGCTTACAAAGTTCTTAAACTAATTGGTACTAGATATGTCATTCTTTTTCATTACTCATATTAACTAAATGGTTAATAATTCATAGGGATGTTTTTCCTAAATCATGTGATATTTAGACTGCCAATGAATTGTCTTGGTAGTGTACATGGCCTGAAATGAAGACAAATAATAAATTTGTTTTAGATTTCTTAAGTTATAGTAGCTCTTAAAAAAAAAAAAAGAAGAGGATAAGGCAATTACCTCTTTACAGCTTTTAACAAAATTAAAAGCTTGAGTTTGTCGATGAAATAGTTTCCAAACGGAGGGTGGTTCTTCTGGCTTGGACAATCTTGGTTTATAAAGTGAGGACAACGGTTTCCTCTCATAATAAGATGCTCGTTCTTCAATTTGCTTTAGTTTTGCTTCCCATTTTCTCTTCATTGGTTCAGCAGTATGGGCAGAATAAATCCTATCCCACATAAGATTTCTATCAATTACTACCAAAACAAACAAAAAGGCCATCAGTTTTTTTGTTCAGAATATACTTTATTTGATAAAGTTTCAAAACGAATTTCCTGACACTTAATTCCTTGTTTGCTTTATGTTTTATTCTTTGCATGAAGTTTTACCATAGAACAAGAGCAGGGTTGGTCAGGTGAAATCCTTAGATTTTGGCTCATCTACCTAATAGTGTTATGACCTTGGACAGGTTCATGAAGCTCCCTGAATCTTAGTTTAATCAATTGCAAAATGGGAATCAATATCATCTTGAGAACTTTATGTAGTTACCTTGAAGATAAATGTGATAAGATACATAAAAATGTTTTGTAAATTACAAAGCCTCATGTAAACGTAAGTGCTTTTTGTATCATTATGGTTTTTATTATAACTATTCTTTTGCATCGAGTGCTGCCTACCTGGCCCGGCTGGTGCTACTACCTTGGCCACCATTCTTGTGTTGATTTTTTTTTTTTTAGTGTAGAGTTCATTTCTAGGCACCAATGTGCAGCTCTTAGTTCCTTTTTCCTCTCCTTCTGTCCATTTTTCCTCTTCTCTCCCAACACAACTTTTATTTCAGAGGTTAACTCAGTGTATGAATGGGAGTTATGATATTGGCTAGTTTGGGATGGTGATGGTAATGGGTGATTTTTGTTTCCATACACTACTTCCATGTAAACCATAACAAGGTAAGAGGGCCAGTCAATACTTTCACAATTTGGGATTATGAGCTATTTACAAAAGAAAAAGAGTAGGTTTTTAGAAGAAGAGGGGGAAAATTTCCACTGTAGATTAAAAACAGCCACAAATTCCTTCCCATTTTCTCATCAAGAGTGCCATCTAAGTTCACTCCCATATGGACTCTGGGCTTGGCCATTTGACTTGCTTAGACCAATGCCGCATTCACAAATGTGAAGGAAACAGAGGTTTCATAAGTGTT